ATCCCATTCTCACCCCCGCACCTGGACCGCACCTCCAGCCCCCAAACCCCCAGTGCCCGGTGACTCCCCCAAACCCGGTGCTTCTCCAGCCTCATCACTCTCCCACTGCATCCCATGGCAGGCCCCACCGCCATTCCCAGTGCCCCCCAAGGCCTGGTCAGACTCTCCATCCCATCCCCTTCCCCATTCTCATCCCCATTCTATTCCCATCTCAAACTGGGACTGCAGCTGCAGCCCCCCAGCACCCGATGACACCCCTGCCCTGTGCTCTGTTCTCACTCTTCCCTCACCTTGGTGCCCCCATTCCCGGTGCCCCCCCCTGCTGCCCCACCAGGCCCAGCAGGACCCTCCCAGAGCCCCCCAAGGAATCCACATTCAGCATCCTGGTTTCTACAGCATCTATTGGCACTCTCCAGAACAGGGACCCACTCCTGGCATCCCACCTGCTCCATCATGGCTCAGAAACAAGGAGCACCCCCAGCGTGGGTAGGGTGGGTTCCCTCCACCCTGGGGGCAGGAGAGTCAGAGAGGTTGGAGAGAGAGAGGGGAGGAAAGGAGAAGGCCCACAGCAGCTTCCCATCCTCAGAAGGTCACTTCAAGGTCCAGCAGTGACCTCCCATTCCCAGGAGGTCACTCTGAGGCTCAGCAGTGGCATCCCATTCCCGGTAGGACGCCTCAAGTTCCAACAGCAGCTTCCCATCCCCGGGAGGACACCTCCACGTTTAGCAGCAACTTCCTGTGCCCAGGAGGACACCTCTAAGTCCATAAGCAGCTTCCCATCTCCGGGAGGTCAATTCAAGGTCCATCAGCAGCATTCCATTCCTGGGAGGTCACCTCGAGGTCCATCAGCAGCATTCCATTCTTGGAAGGACACTTCAAAGTCCACCAGCCACGTTACATTCCTGGGAGGACATCTCGAGGTCCAAGAGCAGCTTCCCATCCCTGAGAGTACACCCCGAGGTCCAAGAGCAGCCTCCCATTCCCGGGAGGACCCCTCAGGGTCCAGCAGCAGCACAGCACCCCTGGGAGGTCACACCCTGGCTTCCCACCCCGTCTCCTGGCGCGGTTCCCGCCGGGACGGACAGCGGGGCGGCGCAGGGGAGCGGCCGGTTCTGCCGCATGTGGGTCCTGCGGTGCACCTTGAGGTGGTAGAACCTCTTGAAAGTCTTCTGGCAGATCCCGCACTGGTGGGGCCGGACGCCCGTGTGCGCCCAGTGCTGCCGGACGAAGTCGGAGATGCAGGTGAAGCTCTGGTTGCAGCAGGGGCACAGCATGAGGTGGCGGCCGGAGTGCCGGCGCTGGTGCACCGTCAGGAAGCTCTGGCTGGAGAAGTTCTCCAGGCACTCGCTGCATGTGTACAGCATTTTCCCAGGGGACAGAGGGCACCTGGCAGGGCTGGGCTTCTCCCACACCGCGCCACAGTCCCTGCTCAGGGCTTGGGGCTGAGAGGTCGGGCACGGTGTCCGACTGGGACACGCCTCTGGCTGATTCAGGGGTTGGCAGGTCCCACTGGCCACCCAGGCTTGGGGCTGGGATGGTGGGCACGGTGTCTGATTGGGAAACGCCTCCAGCTCCAAGGGCTGGCACAGCCTGTTGGCTGCCCAGGTTTGGGGCTGGGACGTTGGGCACAGCACCTGGTTGGGACACGCCTCCGGCTCTGAGGCCTGGCAGGTCCTGTTGGCTGCCCAGGTTTGGGGCTGGGACGTTGGGCACAGTGTCCAGCTGGGACACTTCTCTGGCTTTGAGCCCTGGCAGGTCCCACTGGCCACAAAGATTTGGGGCTGGGATGTCGGGCACGGCACCTGGCTGGGACACACCTGTGCATCCAGGGGCTGGCACGTCCCGTTGGCTGCCCAGGTTTGGGGCTGGGACGTTGGGCACAGTGTCTGGCTGTGACACACCGCAGGCTCCGAGGGCTGGCAGGTGCCGTTGGGCACCAGGGCCTGAGGCTGGGATGTCGGGCACGGCACCTGCCCGGGACACACCTGAGCATCCGGGGCCTGGCACGTCCCGTTGGCCACCTGTGTTTGGGGCTGGGAGGTTGGACACGGTGTCTGGCTGGGACACAGCTCCGGCTCCGAGGGCTGGCACGTCCCGCTGGCCGCCCAGGCCCGCAGGTGCCGCCTGATTTTCTTCTTGGACATGAAGTGGCGGTCGCAGTGCACGCAGAAGTAGGGAGCCGACTTGCTGTGGCTGTGCTGGTGGATGAGGAAGTTGATCTTCAGCAGGAAGTTTTTGCTGCACATAGGGCAGGAGTAGAATTCCCGGGTGGCATTTCGCTGGCAGGCTGCCAGCCGGCCCACGCACGAGTCCTTCTCTGGCTTTTCTGAATCTACTTTTCCTTTGGGAACGTCGGCCGCCAGACCTTGGCCAGCATTCCCTGAATCCACATCCTCCTCTTCCAGCCCCTTCTCCTCTTCCGGACCCTCTGAGGATGTTTCAGGCACTATTGGCTTCTCCACAGTGACCTCCTCCTGTGGCACCTCCATTGGGATCCCCACCTCGGTGTCTGCTGGGAATTTTTCACAGCCCAAACATCACTTTTCCACGTGGTTTCAAGGCATGAACAGCAAAAAGCTTTGCTCCCACTCTCACTCACTTCCCAACCCGTTCCCAGCCAGCACCCAGCACAAATCCCAGCCCTGCTCTCCTCTTCCAGCTCAATCCCTGCGCCGTGCAAAAGCCAGGAACAGCCCCAGCTCACCCCTGCAGACACCCCAGGGACAGTTTGAGGTGGCAACCACCACCCAGGTAGGACAAAGGAGTCTGAAACCACATCAGGGCTTGTCCAGGCAGGTGGTGCCCCATCCCAAATGGTTTCAAGGCTGGCAACTGGATTTGCTGCCAGAGCCCTTTCCTGGAAGCCCCAGGCCTGGAGAGAGCCCCAAGGAGGGATAAAGGTTCTGCCCCAGTACCTGCTGTGAGGGGAGGTGATGGAGATTGGTTCTGATCCACTGCTGCAGAGAGCAGGCAGGAAGGGGCTGGGGGCAGCTGGCTGAGATCCCCTGGGACAGCAGCTTCCAGAGGGATGGGGGCTGTGAGGGCAGGAGGAATAATGAAGGTGGGTGAGAAACAGCAGGGCAGGGGCCCAGGACCCCTCACAGCAGCAGTGGGGTTTGCCAGGCACTCACGTGTGCTGCAGTCCTCCGGGACTGCTGGGCTCCCACTTTCCTCTGCTGGCTTCCCACCTTCCTCTGCTGACTTCCCACTTTGCTCTGATGGGTTCCCACCTTCCTCTGCCAGTTTTCCACTTTCCTCTGCCAGGTTCCCGCTCTCCTCTGGCTCCCTGCAGCTCCCATCACCAGGCTGTGCTGCCTTTACCTCCAGCACTCCATCACCTCTGGAGCAGCTCGGGCGGGCCAGCTCTGCGGAGGACAAGGACACTTGGATTTCCCAGGAGTCAGGGAGCTCCAAGGAGCCAGCACAGGACCCCATCCCACAGGGTGTCAGGATCCCTCACACACAGTTGCTGCTGGGGCAGGGGGGGTCCAAGCTATCCCAATGTCCCAGCGTGTGTTCCCTGTGACGTCTCCCAGCACAGGCTGTCACAGCCATCACAGGACACCTCCCCATCCCTGGGAGTGTTCAAGGCCAGGTTGGACAGGGCTTGGAGCAACCTGGTGTATGGAAGCCGTCCCTGCCCATGGCATGGGGTTGGAACAAGATGAGCTTTAAAGTCTCTTCCAACCCAAACCAGTCTGGGATTTTGGGATTCTGAGTCCCTGGGGCTGAGGGCAGGGACAACCATGGTCCTGGTGAGCAGCCAGGAGCTCCTGGCATGGAAAAACCCCAGTGTCACACACCTACAGCCGGTTCTGGGGACACATCCACTGCCTCTGGCTCCGACTCCGTCAGCGTGCTCAGCTCTTCTCTTTCCAGCCAGAGTAGCAGATTAGGCTTGGACAGGGCACAGTCTGGGCAAGAGCAGGACAGACATCAGGCACATGATGGGACAGGGACTCTGTGGGTGCACCCACAGCCAGGCAACACAGAGCCAGACCCAGCCCAGGAAACTTCTCCAAGCGGGACAGCGACGGGAGTTACGGACACAGACAGGAGACAGCAGGCAGAGCTCACAGGGGAACATGGAAAGCAGCCTGGGACAGTCCCCCAGGAAAAACGGCAAGAAAATCCATCCTTGCTCCAGCCCTGCATCACAATCCCTCATTCTCCCAGAAATTTACCTCAGGGATAGGAAAATACCCAAAAAAACAGGAATTGTTGAGGCTTCTGACTGAATGTTTGATCAGGAGCACCAGGACAGTGCCTGTCCCTGTGCTGGCACTGCTGAGACACCTCCCATCCTGGAGGCAGTTCTGGGGACTCCAGGTACAGGATACTGAGGGGCTGGAGCATGTGCAGGGAAGGGAAGGGAGCTGGGAAGGGGCTGGAGCAGCAGGAGCGGCTGAGGGAGCTGGGGGGGCTCAGCCTGGAGAAAAGGAGGCTCAGGGGGGACCTTCTGGCTGTGCAACTCCCTGACAGGAGGGGGGAGCTGGGGGGGGTCGGGCTCTGCTC